TGTAACTGTAAGTTAAGAACTGTCTGTCCTTAACTTTTGAACTTGTGTCCTTAACTATTGAACTTAACTTTAGGACTTCAAAACTACATTTCCTTGCTACCAAGTACTTGTATTTCATCTGAAGTGACTGAAGGAGTTTTCTGTTCAACATTTTGCGAGACTATTTCTATCTCTGGATCAATATCATAAGGAACTTCTTCGTCACTATCATCATTTGACTCAGAATCCGCAATCTTTGTATTAGCAGTTGTTTTCAAAACCAAAAGCATCGTTGTCAATCATAACAGTAGTGAACAAGCGCAAATTAAAACCTAAAGAAAATATTATATTGATACACACAAAACAATGGTCTTAAATTACCTGGGCTCTTTGTTTTTGTTTCTTGAGTTGAGCATTACTTAGATAGTGTCACCTTAGTAGCTGGATTGCCAGTCTCCTCTTCTCTAACACTTCTGGGAACTGGGAAATACACAACATATTTCAAGTTAAAAACACCAGAGAATACGAAGTCTTTATGTTTTGAATGCATCGGTGTATTTCCGTTTGGGGAGGAAAGGGTAACACAGTCTTTTCATATTAATTTTAATAGACTAGTGGCTACTATTGCTAAGCATTAAAAATGCTGGATAAAAAGTAAATACCAGCTTAAACAGTGGCTACCCACGCCATTTCTGCGGAATATGCTTGGCAGTTCATATATCAACTTAGGGATGATTAAGAGCAGTTTAGAGGAGGTTAGGACGAATTAATTTCAAGTAAAATCCACCAAAATTATATGTGTGATATAACCAATAGACATGAATATACATACTTGATATACATTGATTATTCCCTGTCATTTTTATTGGGCTTTAATTACAAAACCTAATTTTGGGCTAAAATCTTATCAAAAGTTATTAATAGTGGTTATGTGGTGCCGAATCTAACTATTATCTCTTTGAGAATAATAAATAGGGAAAAATAACTCTGTATAACCGTTCTCAAAATAATAACCCAAAAAATATATTTTTTTTATATATTTTTGAGGTAGAGGTAAGGTTTGCGTACACACTATCCTCCTCAAACCCCACTTGTGAGATTATACTAGGTTTGTTGTTGTTGTTGTTATAGTTTGTGTATATTATATTTTTTTGCGGCTACTGGATGTAGTAAATAGTTTCAGCCGCGGGCTAAAACCTGATCTTTGTGCTAATATATAAGTTGGGCCACATCTTCCTCTTTGGGCCTGAAGCCCAAGCAATCCAATACCCCAACACTTATTCTACAAATATGGTACCTGTAAATGAACAAGCAAATGCCTTCCGTACAATACAAATTTTCTACTGTGAAATCAGTAATATTCTACTTTAAATTCTAACCTCTCTGATAATTTCATTTCATCAGATGTATAGGTGGCAAAATTAGCCTACTTTTGTAATCCGTCTTACACTCCCATGTTTAAATGATTTGGGTCTGAAACCACGAGTTAAACACGAAATAACTAATCGAAGTTTATATATTAGTGGTTAGAAGTTCCTTTTTAGTGGAAATTAAATGATAATTTGCAAAGATGAAGCTTGGAAACACATTTCATCACATCGAGCAATACTCTTAATGTAAATATAAAAATAAAACATGTCAATCGAGCGCGTTTATGAATCATCACTTCGTTGACAACATATTTGGTAGTAATTATGGATCAAATTTTGTATCTTGGTAATAATTCTTGTAGAAACTTTATTACCAAATATGTTCATAGTATCTAAATTATCCGCCTAGTCCACATTTTTCCTACAATTTCTGTACCATTCGTTTATTAGGTATTAAAAGGGCAGAATATTCCCTTAAAAACGCGCTAAAAATCAGGAAAGAATCTTGGGATTGATTGATTCTACATTAAATTCAATTTTTGAAACGGAAAGGAGATTTCTCATCTGCGTATTTTTCTCTTAAACTACAATTCAAAAATTAAAAAAAAAAAGTACGAACAACTTCAAAAAGTACGAACAGATTCAACTACGAACAGCTTCAACAAACTGAATTCAAATTGTAGAATTCAAATCTTCGAGATTCAACAACTCAAAATTGCTATATTCTGTTCTTCGTCGTTTTCAGAAATCAAATTGGCGATCATTTATATGTTCTTCATTTTTTTTTCTCAATCTAGAAATCCAAAAAAACGAACAAATTTAGAATGATATGGGGGTTCGTGTGTATATGGAGACCAAAAAGGAGAATAAAAACTTAGGTTCATATTCGTTATGTATAAGTGTACGAGATTTCAATATGGAATTGGCAATCACCAACGATAACACAAGTGCAGGTTTGTATAGTTCGAAATTACATAGAATTATGGTTTTACGGTATTATCTACAAAATTACTACATTTGCCTACAATTAAACTACAAATCAGTTTAATGAAAGAATAAAGCAATACTGTTTTCAAAATTATCTACAAAGTTACTACATTTATACGACAAAATAAACTACAATCTATGATTAGAAATTGTTGATTTCAAAATGTCTGACATCCTAAAATGGATGTCTACAAAATTTTCACTATATCTACAAATTATCTACAATTGAAATGGGAATTGGGATATTAAAATTCAATGTATCCAGTTTGTAGATATTTTGTAGATAAATTGTAGATTATCTGTATTCTGATTGTAGATGCATTGTTTTCTGTTTTCACAAATCCAAAACGACTAAAACTTCTACAAAATCTTCTCCAAAAAACAGTCTACAATTTATCTACAATTGTTCTACAATTTATCTACAATTTCTGCAATATGTCTTCTTCTTCTTCGAGTTTCGATCTGAATTTCAGTCAAAACCAAGTATGTCCAGAATATTTATGAAAAACAGGAAAATTAAATAAAACTCATTTTTCCTAACTCTTTTATACATTGATATTAATTGCAGGTCAAGATGATTCTGCTATAATTATGCAGAAGAGGAAATTGGGAAAGAAGGCAAAAAGTTATGCTTATAGAATTCATGAGCATGGTATGCGTCTATTTACATCTAGTTCATTCTTTTCCTTTTTCCTTCTTTAAGAAAACAATAAAAATATTTTCCTATTTTGATGTTTTGCAGTGAAATTGGGGCCAAAGTTTTCAGAAACAGTGAAGGAAAAATTGAAAATAGAGAAAGAAGGAGGGAGAAGGAATATATTCAGGAATATGTTTAATGTAAACGAAGAAGAGAAGCTGCTAAAAGATACAGAACAAAAAAAACGGCCCATTTTTGGTGCCTTGAATTAAAGAGGGATATATGTTGCATTAATTGTACTCTTAAAATACACTATGGTATAGAATTGGTAATTTGGTACACTAAATGTAATTATATCAAACCTTAAACATTGAGGGTAATAAGGTTTCCTATATGGTATAGGAATGTAAAAATCCCAAAAAATAAAGGTAATGTTCGAGCCAACTTGCGCATTTCAGTATTTCATTGAATACGTATTACCTCCCAATATCAAATATAATCGAAAAATTCTGCTTAACAGTAGTACTTAGTTAGATTTGTAAATATTGCTGATTATCAATACACATATTAATTACTTGAATGGAATACTTTGTGTATTTAACTTTTTTAAAGGGGTTGCATCTATGTTTAGTTCTCTACCTTAGATAAGTTTGTAAAATACAAAAGAAACATTTACATATATAATTATGTTTCTTTGTATAATTAATAACGAGTAAAGACGACCTAACACTCTGTTTGGATCATTGTTCCTTATCGTTTTATAATGTATTGTATTATATTGTATCATATTGTATCGTATCATTTTATGAATACAATATTTGGATAGATTGTATTGTTTGTTTATTGTTAAATAATATTTTGCTGTTTCGTTTGACTGTATCGTATTGTACTGTAATTGATAAGTTTACTAAAATACCCTCAATGTTTAAATATTAAATTTATAAAAAATTATGCATAAAAATATTTTTTAAAACCAAAACAGAAGAAGGCAAAATACCTTAAGAAAGCAGAACAAAGGAGCGAGACAGAAGAAGGCAAACAAAGGAGCACAACTAATTAGAATTGAGTTAAAAGCAAATTAGGAGAAAAAATAAAACAGAAGGCGTCAAAACACCTTTAACGTTGGCGGCAGAAGTTCTGAAAAAACAAAGTAGGTCATAGGTTGGAGATTTGGAGTTAAAATAGCAAAAAAGGCTAAATGGTAAAATAAAATTATGGAGTAATAAGTTAGGGCATAATTGGAAAGAAAAATAGGAAACAATCCCACCACACCAAATCGGTTGTTTCAAAAAATGAGACATTTCATTGTTCCGTAACAATGGATTTAATAATACAATACAATCAATCTTAATGAAACAATCAAAACAAATATTGTTTTTAGATAACAACACAATACGATACAATGGGGAATAACCATCCAAACAACCTGTAAGTGAATATTAATCTTTAATGATATTCAAAATGTGCACCGCAAATTGATTTACGACATTTTGACTAGTGAACAATTGCGTTTTGAAGATTAATACGGACAATGTCGTGCATTATATAGTTTAACTTGTTTTAATATCTTATTTTCAAGTTATTATTTCTTTCAATTGACTTAATAACATAAAAATTTGGGATTTTTACACAAATAAGTTGCTAAATTCATTATTTACTTTTTTAGCAAATATATCTAAATTATATATAATTATTATATTTGCTGGTGGGAATGGCTATTTGTAAGCACGTAATTTTTGACCCGCACATTAGAATTATCTTTAATAATCTTAATATTTTTAGAATGTTTATTTGAGTTTATTTCTATAGGATTTCACTTTATTATTAATTTAATTCTAGTTTTAAAGCAGAAAAAATTGAAAACTACAAAAATAAGTTCACCTTTATCATACATTCTGCTATTGTTATGTTGTCTAAGGTTTTTAGTATTTTTATAATGATATTACTTTAACTCTACTGAGATTTTAACCTATTTGTCTTCCCATTTTATTTTAGTATAATCTTGAAAATACCAAAAATAGTTTGTAGCGAGTACCTATCGCTGCTCCTTAGTCGTTCCTCTTGCCTTCAACGCACAAAAAATCAACCTCACCCCCCTCCTTTCACAAAAAGCTTCAGCACATCTCTCTCTCTCTCTCCTTTCTTTCGCTGCTGTTACGTCGCCGGAAACGGCCCAAATCTGGCAGCCTCCATGGAAAACGACCATGACTGGCCGTAGAGAATTACAGATCCGATAGAGGAGTCGCCGCCCCATTTTCGGTTGCCAACGAGGTTCCGTTCGAGGTTTCTAGTTCCTGCTCGAGTTCGAGGTTCCGGTCTGTCATGAGTGGTCGTTGTATGAATTTTGCTGGAAGGTTTGTTCAATTGAAAATCGTTGCTTCAGTTAAGGTCCATTCTCAATTTGTCTTTACTATGGATTAGTTGAATATTATGTCTGTTTGCTTCTGCTAAATCATTTAATTGCTTTATTTTAGTTAAAAACCTTGAATGCTTGAATGTGTTTTTTGATAAAGCATGTTTGAATGTGTTATTCAAGATAATTTGGTAGATCAGGATAATTGCTATTCTATCACCATGCACTTGCTGATTGTTTGCCTTCGGAACATTTCTTTTCTGAAGTTTTGATGTTTCACTGTATTCCCAGTTCAGTGTGCCCCCTGCAAATGAGGAATATTTGGGAATTCTAACAAAATGTTTTGTTGAAAGTGAACATTTTCCAAGGTATAACACTGATTGGGGCTTTTAAAGCTTAAGTTTTGTTTTAAATTAGTTTGGACCAAATAATCGATTGGGCCAGTAACTACTAATCTCATCTTGGTTTGGTAAATGTTTGAAGTGATTTTTTTCTAACTATACCATATTTGAAACCTTATTATCAAAAATGTGCATAGTTTGTATATTACCCGTCCAGTCCACACTTTAACTACAATTTATATACCAATCGTTTATTAGGCAGAATCTGCCATTTATTGCGCGCGAAAAATCAGCCACAAAATCTGGGATTGATTTATTCCAAATTAAATTCGAAATTTGAAACGTAAAGGAGATATGGAAGCTGCATAATTTTGAAACGGAAAGGAGATTTCTGTTCTTCAACTTCATCTTCATCTGTTCTTCCATATATTTTCCACTATTGATAGCCATTAAAAAACTTGAAAACTTTGAATTCAAATTTGGGTTTTCAAAAATCATTATTTGTTTGGATTGGGTGTTGTTGAAAATAATCGGGAATATGATTTGGAGTTTATATCTCAATTTTGAGGGGTTTTGGTGAAGATTAGACTTGGTTTTGACTGAATTTCAGATTGAAACTCGTCGAAGAAGAAGAAGAAGAAGACTAAAACTTCTACAAATCTTCTACAATTATGTCGAAAATGCCAATTATGCTACAATTGAAATGGGAATTGAGATATTAAAATTCAATGTATCCAATTTGTAGATATCTTGTAGATTATTTGTGTTCTGATTGTAGATGTATTGTTTTCTGTTTTCACAAATCCAAAACGACTAAAGCTTCTACAAAATCTTCTGCAAAAAAACAGTCTACAATTTATCTATAATTTTTCTACAATTTCTGGAAATATGTCTTCTTTTTCTTCGAGGAGGAGTTTCAATCTCCTTTCTCCAGCCAGTCTTGTCTGCACGATTAGGAATTATCGTTTAGTTACAGAAATAAAAGCAAAATGATAAGTTTCTTACTTTCCGAATCCTGAATAGATACAAGCTTTCAACTAAGATGGCGTTGAAGTTAGGTAGGAGCTTGTCTGACCTAAGAGATCTTGCTGCTGCTGCTTCATCTAAGGAAGAGGAAATTGAGTTCGGAAGCAAGCTTTTCTAAAATTCTGACTGTTTATAGTGTAATGCATAGACAAAATCGAGTTCTCCATATGTGGGGAGGGGGGAAGTGGGAAGATACGGTCCTATAATAGCGCCTAATATAAATGCACCCTTAATTATATCCCTAATTTGAGTTATGGTATATAAATGGTAACTTGGTATACTGAAAAGTAATTAATACAAACCTTAAACATTGAGGGTAATAAGGTTTCATATATGGTATAAAAAAGTAAAAATTACGTGTTTCAAGTTGATGGTTATTCTAACTTTGGGCTTAATAATGGACATGAATACCATGCTAGCCTAATGTCCCTATTTATTCCATAATTATAATAATCAAATCTTACACCCTTCCACGATAATTTCCATAATCAATGGCCTCACAGCAATCTCAAACATAGGAAATGAACAATTTTGAACATCGTAGCTTGCTTTAGGCGCGATTAATAATAAAACATCGTGACTATGGGCATGTTACCGTGGCATTAGTCATGCTACATAATCCCCAATTCGAGTGCGCGTATCACGTGACTAGACCATAACTTCAAATAATTATAAACATAAAATGTTGTAAATCGCGGGTGCGTTTCACATAGCGCGATTCACAATATGTACAAAACAAATGAGTGCGCGACATCGCGACTTGTTCAAACAAATTCCATAAATATTAAAAGCGGGTAAAAAGTAAAAAAATACACAATAAGTTCTAAGTGTGTATTAAATCAAATAATCAGGCCAATTATTAATAGTTGAGCGACCGTGCTAAAACCACAGAACTCGGGAGTGCCTCACACCTTCTCCCGGGTTAACAGAATTTCTTACCCGGTCTTCTGTGTTTGCAGATCATAAATAAGAGTCAATTTTCTCGATTTGGGATTTAAAATAAACTGCTGACTCGGACACCATAAATTATTCCAAGTGGAGACTCTGACTTAAATAAATAATCCCATTTCGAATAATATCACTTTAATTGAAAAAACTCCTTATCCCATCGTGAAAAAGGAGGTGTGACACTATTTATGTTAATTCTTTTAAAAAAAATGTAACTTATCAGCGTTACCAATTGAAAATACATTTTTGATAAAAGTGAGAAGGCATTTCCTCTTTTTATTCGTTCTCTTGCTTCATCCGTCTCAAATTATTTGCCGTGGTTTTTAAAAGTAGCTGTCTCAAATTATCTATCATTTTAGAAGTTTAAGATAAAATATAATTATATTTTTCTATTTTACTCTTAATAGTAATTGTTTTTGAAAATTAAAATAGTATATAAATCGAGTAAATATTCAATAAATAGAGAGTATAACTTAAGATATAAATAAGGATAAAATAGTCTAAAATCTCTCCTAATTAATTAATACTTTCTTAACAAAAGAGAAATAGATATTTTGAGGGAGTTTTATTTCAAAATCCCTTCTTGCGGGTTGGATCGCAAACGAAGGAGCAGGCTCCCAATCTGACAATTTCGATCAATTTCGAACTACTCCAGTTCGGCCGAAGTAGATAGTCGTCGCCGGCAGTGGCGAGTTTGCTCTTTCGGCGACGAAATTCAAGTTGTAAGTTACCTCTTTGTCAATTGCGACCTCTTCCCTTTGCTCTTGAGGCGCTTTCCCCGTGTTTTGTAGTCGTAATATACCATCTATATTGGATTACAATGCTTTAATTCTGCTCTCACTGTATAAAACAGCCTGAGCTTCAATTTCTAATTTTATTGTGCGATTTTCATGAGACATGCATTCTTACAATTGCTTCGATTTTGAGGTTTACAATGACTTTTGTGAGTATCGTTGTAATCAATTTCGAAAATTGTTATCAGTTTGTTATATAATGTTCACGAGCTCAGTGAGCTTATATACATGATTGTAATAGGGTTTATGCAATGAAATTGTTCCTTTTGCTTTATTTTTCTTATTTCCTGCTTATTACTTTTTCAGTTCCATTTCCTCCAGTTACAATAATTTTTGGTCAGTACAAAGCAAAGCAGGCCACAATATAAAAGAATGTGAATGTAATAATTGATCAACTTTTAACCGAAATTTTTTGCCATCAGTACCTGCTAACCAGATCTGAGACTCCTTACAGGTTCCAAAGAGTGTAATAACTGATCAATTTCACCTAGTTCCTTTCATTAAAATTACTCCAGGATCTAAGCATTTGAAATCAATTAAGGTATAATATCCCTTAAATTTAAATCAGTCCATCCACACTGGCCATGAGTAAGGTTAGTATAATTGTTTTTATTAGGATTGATTTATTAGAGAACTTGACAACTAATATCTCCAACTACTTTTATTGTTTCTGTTTTCCGATTATAAGTTGTTAGACATGAGATTGTTGTTGATGAATTGGAGCTTGCTGATTTCATTTTCTTGTAGAGATTAATGCGGGAGGAATAATATCTTCGGATTTTTGTTGGACCAAATCACTATATACCATTGAAACTGCATCATTTGATTGGGAGAAGTCTTCTGCATCTTCTCCTGCAATTCGAAGGAATGTCAAAAATTAGAGACAGAACGGAAGATTTTAAAGATGCTGCACGTCGTTCAGCATTGTCTTTGGGATATGATGAGGTACATTTAACTTATTTAGTTCATTGCTTTTCTCTTTTCTTAGTCCGAAAGAATTATGTTGCGTATTATGAATTGTCTTGAAGAATCTTCATGCTTATGTGATTCCTACTGTCCTTTGCCTCTGGTGTAGGCTCTGGTCGTGCATATAGCTTCATAACCTCCTCATGAATCAGTTGTTATGCTGTCCGTGGATCAGAGTCTCTGTTTTTATATTTAATCTGACAAAGAATTTGCAACTTTTCTCTTGTTTGCATGCGAGCTAGTATTCCATATAATTGAACTTCAACACTATCTTCCACGTTGGAAAAAAAAAAAGAATATAAATTTTGCTGTGTGTTATTTGTTTAGCCTGTGGCATGCTCCATCAGGTCTTAGCTTATATATCATCTGAGCTTAGATCTTTGCTGGCAGTCCAAAACAGCTGCGTTATTAGCATCTTTTATCATGCATAAACCTCGGCAAAGGTCAGGATTCACTAGAGCTGCGCTTAAAACAGTATGTTGTTTACACCTAATGCTTATCTTCTTTTCTTATGTTGCTTGTGCTTGGATTATTCATTGATAGGTAAATTAGTGCAAAAATTTTTTTTAAGAAAATTCTCATTTGTCAGCTGGAGAGTATTGGGTCTCTGGAGCAATTTTTGATGAAACACAAAAAGGATTATGTTGATTTGCACCGTACAACAGAACAAGAGAGGGATAGCATCGAGCATGAAGTAAGAGTACATACTTGATGTCTGTTTCTTCCCTTCTTTTTTTGTTCTCTCTCTGTTATTTCAAAACATGACAGTTAGCTAAACTATATTCTACTTGCTGCGATGTTGGACTCCTGAATATATTTATTCTTGTTGTGTGATGCTTCATTATAAAATATATACTGATGAGAACAAACAGTTATTTCGGTTTGCAAATAGGATAAGCCCATATCATAAGTTTGTCCAATTGCAGGCATTATGAGCTAGTGTGTTAAAGATGAAAATAATAATGGAACTAATAATGTGATTGTTATAATCGTATCTATCTCTAGGTTAACAGGCTTCAGGGTGAGATTGGAGTTAGGATTATCCGTTACATGTTTACATGTTTGAGACAATCATATAGTTTATCCGTTAATCAGTGGTGATTTGCTCCCTTTTAATTTAATAACATATCAATCATTCTTCAATTCCAAACTAGTTTGAATAGCAATAGGAATGTCTTAATCTAGTTTGCTGTATCCGGACCCATTTTATCTAATACTTGTAAATAATGTGTCTTCTAAGGCCAATTAGGAGTTATCTAAAGTTAATTATTCTCTAACTCTCACACCTATCCCGACCCTGTCCAAATATAAGTCTTAGAACAACGAGCCTTAATCGTAATCAGCTGGTATCGCCTGTATGGATCGTTTCCTTTCATTATGTTATATTTTTACCACATGATTCTAGTCTACCGCATACCTTTTAGAACTTTCAATTTTCCAAAGTATCGCTTCTATGGACTGGTGCTTTCGGAGGTTTATGTAGGCATGGCCAAATCATCTCAGACGACATTCTCTTATTTTATCCTTCTATGTATGCTACTTGCATCCCAACGTGATAATTGATGATCTTGTCCAATTTTGTATGATGCACATTCATCTTAATTTACGCATATTTACGACAGTTTTCTTGTGGACATGTTAGCATTTGAGGCTCAACATTTACTTCCATATAATATTTTTTGTCTAAGAATCATTCTAGAGAATTAGCCTTTCACATGTTAAATATCATCTAGTACATAAATCTCTTGTAGCACTCTTCTATTTCAACCACCTAAACTACTTTATGTGGTACATGTTTATCTCTCATGTCATTCTTTTGGAAAACTCAGTCTATATATCTAACTTGTCTGCATTGGGCACCACTATCTCTTCCAATCTCACTTTACATTCGTTCTTCTTATAGGCGCTAATCTTGCAGTACATAGTTTTTCTAACAAATATTTAGAATTAAATCAATTGGTATAAAAGCCATAATCTTATGAAAAGAGACCATAATTTACTTCGTTTTGAGTACAAATCTAGTAAAAAAAGTAAATATAGCAAAATACCTCTCCAAAAAAGATTTATCTTATCTTTGGTTTGAGTGGCATGGACGACTAGGGGTAGTAGTGGATAGGTAGAGAGTTGTAAACCTCAATTCGCAATTCATGGAATTAGAATTCCAAACTACTCCTCCTGGACCTTGAATAACTGTTGAGTAGCTTACCGGACTACTAAGTGCTTTCGGGTTGGCCCACATTTATGATGTGAAAAACCAGGCTTGTGATGGAATGAGTTGGTTGTGTGTGTTGAACATTTTTCTGAAGTTTGATCTTGTATGTTGTAACGAACTTGTTAGCTTTCTTATATTGCTTAAACTTTTTGTGATATCCTACAATCAATATTAAGTGCAGTGCAGTCAGTAATATAAAATCTTGAGCCGAGGGTCTTTCGTAAGCAGCCTCTCTATCCCCCGCCTCTCTATTTCCCTGGGTTGGGGTAAGGTCTGCGTACACTCTACCCTCCCCAAACCCCACTTATAGGATTTTTATTGGGTTGTTGTTGTTGTTGTTGTTGTTGTTGCAGTCAGTAATATAAAATCTTGAAAAATAACTAAGAGAATTGAAGGATGAAGCCAATAGAAATTGAATTGGTCTCACATTACTTCTGATTCCAAGTTAGACCATAAACTATGACCTACAGGATTGACACTATTGCAATGAAGATCGCTGTTCTTTGATTTCCTATCTTTCTTATATAGTCAACTTCCGATGAAAACTACATCTTTATTTACAAGGTAAAATTTTGTCTGCTTTTCCTGTTTTGTCAAGTTTGTTGTTTTGATTAATTTTTGAGTCTCGAGAAAGTGCTCCTTGTGCACCTTTGTGTTTAATGCTCCTTCTACAGCTTTGTGTTTAATGCTCTTTCTGCAGCTTTGTTTGTGATTGCAAATGCACTTAGTTGAGATTATGAAGTTAGAATTGGAACAAAGAAAAAGAATTAGAAGGATTTTTACTAACACAACTTCTGCAGGTTACTGTTTTTGTAAAATCATGCAAAGAGCAGATAGATGTTCTCAAGAATAGTATAAATGAGGAAGATGCACATTCAAAGGGATGGCTTGGATTCAAGGGTGACAATCTGAATGCTGATACTATAGCACACAAGCATGGAGTGGTATGGTCGCTACATACAATATAGTCATCAAATATCCATATAACTGATTATGATTGCTTTATGAAGCATCTTCTCCCCATTTTCTGCTGGTGTTAGGAAAGTTGATGTTTGTTGTGATTGTTCTGCAATTAGCACAGCGGTATCTTAGTTGCCATTTCACAATACTTTCTCCTCAATTCTCTGCAGGTGTTTCATACTTTCTATAAATAGCCTGTTTAATGTTGAGAAATTATTGAAATGACCTCTGATGTTAGGGTAACTACTTCAGATGGTTGTCTTTAGTGTGATTCCACTGGGAGAGTATCCACCGTCCTATCTTAAATTTGTGGATCTCTACTATCTGAGATTGTTCTCCATGAAATTTTTCTTCATGGAAAGGGATGTTTTATGTGCTGTCTGCTATGTGCACAACAATATCACTGAGATAGTGTAATTAAACTCGCTAGATTGTGCTGATTATTAACTTACCTTTTGACACTGAAAATATACTTTTTCAACCTATGCTACAGTATGTATTCGGTTGAAAACAGTTCTAAAGCTGATTCTACTTTCCTGTACCCGTTTTCCAGAGCCACCACTTGCTGCCCACTAAGAATGAAGTGGGAGATGTTTTCTAAGCAGATCTTTTAGAGAATATAATTGAGTGCTGAGGAATTTGAAAGGAGTCTTGATGCATATTCCTATAATCTTTATTTGCTTTTATGCTGTAGGTTTTAATTTTAAGTGAAAAGCTTCACTCTGTCACGTCACAGTTTGACCAGTTGCGGGCAATACGCTTTCAAGATGCTATTAACCGAGTAACACCAAGAAGGAAACGGAAGAACTCTACCAAATCAAATGCTGCAGAGACCTCTGTGTCTAGTAGTTTTGACCCCGACATGAAAAGGGACTCAGAGATCAGGGACTCTGATATTTCACAAGCAGCACCTGTTAGAGTCCAAGAACAACTTTTGGACGATGAAACGCGTGCCCTCCAGGTAAGTGGGAAGTTTGCTGCTAGAGGATTTAGTTCTGGCAAACAAGCAATATGTGAAGGCTAAAATCACAATGCACTTTCCCATACTCTTACCTTACTCACATTATGCAGGTAGAGCTGAACAGTCTCCTGGATTCTGTTCAAGAAACAGAAACAAAGATGGTGGAAATGTCTGCGTTGAACCATCTTATGTCAACTCATGTTTTGCAACAGGCCCAACAGATAGAGCTATTATATGAGCAGGTTAGCAAATATTGTTAGCTATTTTTGTTTCCAGTTGGATAGAACTTCTATCTTGTTAACATAACAAGAAAGTCATTTTCTCTCTTTTGTTTAAATAAGTCTGACAATCTCTTCATTTTCAATATTAACTTTCCCATGTGTAACCATTTACTTGTAGAACTAACAAACATAACGATCTACGGATCTTTCATTGTTCTATAAGTTTGTGTGAACTTATGGTTTTTCGTTTCAGGCAGTTGAAGCAACCAAGAATGTGGAACTTGGTAACAAAGAACTGTCACAAGCCATTCAACGGAACAGCAGTAGCAGAACGTTTCTTTTGCTCTTTCTATTTGTGCTTACTTTTTCAATCCTCTTCCTTGATTGGTATAGTTAACCATAGGATAGAACATCTCTTTTGCTCTTTCTATTTGTACTTACATTTCCAATCCCGTTTCGTAGATTGGCGTACTTAATCATAGGAGAAACTTTTCTTTTGCTCTTTTCTATTTGTGTTACATTTTCAATCCTCTTCCTTAATTTGTAGTATAATTGTTGACAGGGTATAGTGCGTATATTGTCATCTTTCATACTTTCTGCTTAACGTTATTCTGCTTGATATATGTACTGCCGTTGTTATTACTTTCTCATGCCAGCAATATTGAATTTTGTCCCAAGGGTATTGGATAATGTAGGGCCATTCTGCTTTCGCGGACAATATCAGGTCAGTCTGTTTATAGTATGTTGGCCTTGTTGCTAGAAGATTACTAATTAGGCTGTCAATAGTGAATGCTGTTCTATACTGTTTTATAAAAATGCTGAATGGAAATAAAGCAACAGAAATTTGGTGTATAAATGTGCAATTTAAACAGTAATTAAGTTCGGTAAGTTTTTAATTGAGGAAGAAAAGTGTTCAAAAGGGGGTGGACAAGCATTGAAGTTGATGTGTAACTGCATACCATGAAGGTGATGGACGATTACCAGCCAAATTCTAGCAGAAAATAGAGCAGGAAAAAAGAAAAAAAAGAAGAAAATAAAAGGGAATTGCACAGGATAGTAGTATAGACCGGGCCCCTGGGGTACCATCAACTAATATCATACTTCAAGGGCGGAGCTAGTAGGGTGGCACCGGTCGGTTCGGTTCGGTTATGAATATTATCGGTTTATAAATTTGATAAACCGATAACTGAACCGATAAGATATCGGTTATCGGTCATTATCGGTTCGGTTATCGGTTTACCCGATAAGATAACTCAATCTAGAGTTAAGCAAAAAAAGAGAAGACAATTCACTGGAGATAAGAAAAAAAGAGAAGAATTCACATATAGTATACTACCCATTTCTACGTTATGTCCAGTGGCCACAATTCAAATAGTACTAATTCTTCAATAATAGTTGTCCAAACACATTAATAATAATACAAAATAGTAGCAATTTCACCTTAAAATTAACAAGTCCAAACATATAGTACTAACATTCCAAGATAAACTAGATGTTGTTTGTCAAATGCCTAATCTGAAAAAAGAAACCATAGAGCGAAACCTTGATCCGTGCAGGGGCAATACTAACACATAAATGAAAAACACCTAGAAGGCAAGAAAATGCTGTCCTGTTGTCAAAGCTCAGCGTACTGTACAGAAGAATAATGTTTAAAAATATACCCAAAACTGATGAAGATTGTCGATTGAGAATTGATAAGTGCGAAGAGAAATTGGTAGTAGGTATAGGCTGCACAATGTGAGCTCACAAAATTAAGAAACGAAAATAAGAAAATAAAGAATCATTAACAGTCAAAAATACCAATATGAAGATGAATTTTGTTATAGAAATTAAAAGCCTAATGTATAAGACTAAAGACTTACGCTAGGAGTAACTAGTAAGGTCTATGAAGAATGAAGATGAAGCAACTGAAGAGTGCAGCTGAGAAAGAATAGGAGAGAATGAACTGAAGCCCTATCATATGTATATACTTAAGGGTAAAGTCGTAAATTTATTAATTCTTATTGGGTTATCGGTTAACCCATTAACAAAATTGGCAAATCGAGGCCCGAACTGATAACCCAATAGTGAAAAAATTGTAAACTGTTACCGACCGTTAACCCAATAACCCAATACCGATAACCCAATAAACAATTAACGGTTCGGATTATCGGTTTTACCCGATATATGCCCAGCCCTAGGAGCTAGAGTATTTGGATGGGGTTCGGCCGAATTCAGTAGTTTTGGTTCGAACCCTGTATTTATCTTAAAAAATTTATTAAATATGTATAAATTATTAATTTAGAGCCCAGTGCCTTAAAATGATTATAATTATGAACTCATAAGCTTGAAATCCTGACTCCGCTTTTGTTATACTTCTCATTTTTTCTCTGGAAATAAAATAAAAATATAAAAGAGAAAGGGAGGGAAAAATATGCATGGTAAAGAAAGAAGAAAAGAAATGTTTGGCACGACCACTAAAACAATATGATTGCAAATATGCAAACCGAAAGACAAGTAGACCCCTTTAGTTATGAAGGATAATTGCTATTTTAAATGCTTAAAAAGGCAAACTCAATCTCGATTGTTACCTTGTTGGTGGAATACAATGATGGTGTTTCCCCTCCAAAACATGAGGGGAAGACAAAATGAAAAGCAGGAAGAAGAAGAAAAGAAAAGAAAGACCAATGAAATGTTGAGGGAGATTTTTTTTTTCTTCTTCTTCTTATCAGCGAGAAATTTAAGAGTCAATTGTGTATGCTTCGAAATTCGATGGATACTGAGTTCAATCCTCTACTTATATATTACGATTTTGTACGTGGAAAAATTCGAAATCATAATGTGTGCTTAACTCACACATTATGTATTGCGCTTTTATCACTAGAGTTAAAGAACTTGAGGCAAAATCTAAATTCAAGTTTTTTCTTTTTCTTTATCAATTTTGGATTGAGCTAGACTGATTGGGAATAGAAAAAAGGAGACTGTTTCTTTTTGTAGGATCGGCATCCTGCATCACTTGAAATACGTACTTAATAGTAGAAATTATAGAATAGTAACTATTAAGGGTCGTTTTTTTGTACAAGAGATAAGGATAATAATCTCGGAATATAATTTGAGATTGTATTTATCTCATGCTTGGTTATAAGTAGGGGTGTACAAACCGAACCGGAAAATCGCACCAAACCGAAAAGTCAAACCAAACCGATAAAAAACCCGACTAGGTTTGGTTTGATTTGGTTTGGTATTGAGTAAAAAAAATCGAACCAAACCGACATATAAATATAATTTTTTTTTATATACTTTTAAAATTTTATATAGAAATTTCTTTAAAATATGTCTAGAAATATTTGGGATTATCTTGCATGATTATGAAGTGCTCCATATTTATTAACCTTAAATAATGGGTTGTATGATCACTCTCTCATAAAGCGTTACTGAAATGCGTCAATCTCTTTGTTCTTCCATATTCATATCCTATGTTAAGATCTGCAAAATTGTTATATCATTTTCGAATATGAAGTGATTATTATTATTTAGGTATCAGATTGATTTTTATGTTTAATTACTAAATTCAGTTAACCTTTAAGTGTACAGCAGCGAAACATTATTGTCAAACGACTAAAAAAATAACTATTATTATTTGTTACTAAGAAAATTCTCTCATAAGAATATTTAATATATAATATGTTTGTCAATTTTTTATGTTTTTACTAAACATATATTTACTTATAAAAAATTTAACAAAGTAAGATTGAAATAATATTTAAGTATCGAAAAATCCGAAAAACCCGAAAAATCCGTCAAAACCGAACCAATCCAAACCGATATAGTTGGTTTGGTTTGGTTTTGATAAAAGCCGAACCAACCTGGTCCATGTACACCCCTAGTTATAAGTATTAGCTAATCTCGGGATAAGTTTTACACTAAAATGGTGAGATTAATGATCTCAAATAGAGGGTGAGAACTCATATGGTATATCTCATCCTATAAGATATCCTAGTTTATTCCACCCTTGTACCAAACGACCCCTTAGAGTGTATCTTTATTACAACCATTAGACTGAAACATTAATCCGTAATTTTTAAAATTAAAATTGATTTGGAGATTAGATAGTAAAAGTAAAGTAAAATTACGCGTGGATCACTATTAGCATTTTGTTATGAAAAACAATAAATGATATTGCAGAGAAAGAGAGAGAGAGGGAATTCTTATTGAATTTTGGGATGAATTACAATGGAATAGAATCCTCTATTTATAGGGATAGAGTGACTTAGCCACCAAATAATAAACCCTAGAATCTCTCTAAATATAGACATTCACCATAAATAAAATTCTATTTATAACACTCCTCCTGAATGTCTATTCAACAGATAAATGTGCCTCGTTAAAACCTTAACTAAAAGAAAATCCAATGGGAAAAAAAATTCTAGAGAAGGAAAAAGAGTACACATATCTAACAATACGCCTTTTGGTTGCCTCGTTAAAAACCTTGCAAGGAAAATCCAGTGGGACAAAACCTTGTAAGGAAAAAAGAGTACACCGCGTATTAACTCCCCTTGATGAGAGCATCAATTTACATCCTTGAGCATTTGCATTCCAATTTTGTGCACCATCTTCAAAAGATCTTTGGTAGAGATTTGATGAACAAATCAGCCATATTAACTTGAATGAATATATTGCACATTGAAATCATCATTCTTGATAGAGATGAATTGTCTTCATATGATCCTGTTGGAATCGTCAGTTCAATATCTTCACATAGGGGTGAAAACTCTTGCTATCATATTATCATGCATATAGTTATAGCAAGATACATTTGTGCACAAATTTCACTAAGGAAGTGGTACTTTAAGATCAAGAATTGTATATGCTTCAAGCAACTTAAATCCTTCATGGATTGTCATATAAGTTGAATCATACAAGCCATATAATAGACTTTACATGCATATCAAGTTTTCATGTCATGCTAGATATATAAGATATCGAAAACTGATTGCACATACCATTGACTTTATACTTTCAAGTGTTTGAACTACATGTCTTTCATATGAAATCAATTCTATTTGAATTATTTCTCCAGACATAAGATCCTCATATATATTTAGCGCTATTATAGATGTCGTCGACAAACATTTTATATCGGTTCTAAGCTCCTTATTTTTCATAAAGACATAACATAATATCTCTTCATTCATATATTCAGGTACCTGAATCTCTCATGAGATTTTATAAAGTGTTATGTCATGTGATCTTCTAGATCACTTTCCTCCTTTATTATGATCATTTTGATCATTTGCTCATCTTCTTTATCAAGAAGTTTATTTGAAACCGATTGTCTGTACGCTTTAAGCTTACCATAGACTTTGTCCTTCTAGGACTTAATACGATCATTTGCAATGAGAATATAGTTACTTTCTTTGGGTCAGCAAATGCGTCTGGCATGCTTTTCAATATATTGCAAATGAATTATCCTTTTATGAACTTCAAGTTCATATTATCTTATTCGAGGATCTAGATGTACAAATGATAATTCATTCCATGTAACTTTTTCTCAACTGTTTATCATGTCTCCCCCTCATGTTAGAAAAACTAACTTGTTACATCAACTTTGAGAATTCACATTTGTGCGTTATGGTGTTAATCAAAATATACACCGCACATCAATAATAATGATGGAATTATTTGGTTCCTGACCCTGAACCACTTGTGAGGGGAGAAAATAATATACTTTGGTATATAACGTATATCAAATTGATATAGAAACTTTGTTCTCATAAGAAATTGTTTAGCTATTAAGTGGAGGCACTCAATAAATCATCTTGCTAAACCAATTGTGATGTAAACCAACTTATCAAGATAAACTATCTTGAATTAAAAATTTGGAAATTATGCTCGAAATTAAATTATTGAGCAAGTTACCTCGGAAATACTAGGTTGCAGGTCAATAATAATTGCACATGTAACCATCTCATAGATGCATCTTATGTGGTATACATGATAGGTGAATGGGCCCATATTCACCTTTGATATTTCCAGCATTCATGGGATTCAATCCCAATTTTAGTTGGTATATTAATTAATGAGAACACGCAACATAAGAGAATTCGTAAAGAACTTTCTAGTTCTTTAATATTTACCCATGTGAATTCTCTTTTATTTTTGCACATCATACTTAAATTCATATGGGTAAACCAATTATGCCAACTGAATAAATTATCAATATTGATAAACTTCATATTTATACCATGACGTGTGCAATCATCAATAAACTCCACGTTTATTATGATATGGGTTTTTATATCAATAAACATCCACTTTAGTGTGGTATTCTTTTATTTGTATAGTACAAACTGGAGAATAAAGCGGGTAGCTTTTCACATACATATTATCCCGCTACAAGTAGTAGTAATAGAAGATATTAAATCTTTCCTTTATTTATAGTCTCAATATAATCAACCGCTTTCGCGTATACTTTGGAAACTGAATAAGTTTCTTTGAGACTTACTACAATATAATACCTTATTGGTAATCAATTGTGCTTCTCCAAAATAGTAATAATTGGCTCTTCCAGAGCTCTCAATTAATTTGGTACTACCACATATTCATCAACATTCATATGGTGAATATCTCTTTTAAAGAGAAAGTTATACCATTATGGTTATGATCAAAATTATATGCAAGATATGTTTCTTGTATTAATGTTATTCTTTAATAATCACATTACCAAAATATTTTAGCGTGCAATAGGTACGTGACCAATGACCATTCATGCCATAATAATGACATTATTTTCTTATATCATCTCAAACCTCCTTCTAGAGGTGAGTGTGGTATATTCACTATCACTAGCACGTTCATATTCTTTGAAGAATGAATATGTATTCATAAATCAGATATTATCACATTCACATCATGAATGGACCATAATCATCTATATGTGCTTTACAAAATCTCATGTCAAATTCACAAAGTGGGGGATTATTTTGAGAATCCTTGTTGTTCTCGTTACCTCAATGATGATGATTATAATTTCGTCTATTGCCACGTCCACATCCATTGATACATTTAGTAGTAAATTTTATCTTCTTTCAAACTTATCACATACTGCTATCACACTCTCTTAAGGGAATGAGAATGGAGCAAATTCAATGGGACGGGTTTTCAATTCTTTGCCCACAATCATACATGAATTTGATCATGGCAAGGCATAAAAATTTTACCACTTCAGGTGGTTATAATTTCTTACAAACTCCATTAGAGTTATAATCAAACTTTGTTGTCTTTGCTTGTATATAAAATCAAATTATAGAATTTCAAGAATTTAAAAGAGAAAAATAAAGTAAAATACTTACCTTAAATCAAGAATTTAATCATGAAGGAAGTTCATGAAATAATTGACAATCATTATGATCAATCCCAAAGCTTCTACTCAATTGGTTAGAGTCTCGTGCTGATAACGTGTTATAAAACAATAAAAGAAGAAGAACGATATTGCAGAGAAAGAGAGAGAGGGAATTCTTATTGAATTTTGGGATGAATTACAATGGAATAGAACCCTCTATTTATAGGAAGAGAGTGACTTAGCCACCAAGTAATAAACCCTAGAATCTCTCTAAATATAGACATTCACCATAAATAAAATTCTATTTATAACACATTTCGATTATATCTTTTTTATCCACTAGAAATTCCATCGTCTTTTTTTCTCTCTTTTCTTTTTCCTATATGTTGTGGAATTCTCTTTTCGAAAAAAGTTAAACGCACACTGTCCTTCAAGTGGGACGCTCTGCTTATGAGTGAAAGTTTTGGTATACCAGAGGATTCGATTACCTAAATAAATGACACAAAAAGGAAGGATTGAGCTTTGAATTTGTTATTACTTCATCATACTATTATAATTATAGTAATATTAATAACAAATTATAAGTTTGTTATTACTTAATCTGAATAATGACACTCAACTGAATAGTAATTGTTGTTGAGAGAGCTGACTATTGAGATTATTAGTGGTTAATTATGTAAATTGTATAGTGGCTATATCTGTAAAGTGGTTAGATTAGACATAGATTAGAAATTCATTTTGATGTATATATGTATGCTACAGTACTTGTCATAATTCTAATTCTAGTGATCATTTTCAGATTTCACTTTCTCTATTTTTCCTCTCTCTACTGTTCTAGAATATTCCGCTTTCTCTCACTTGTAAACCGCCATGGATGCTCGACCTTGAGCTGATTTAACATGGTATCAGAGCCAGGCCCATCCCAATTATTGTTACCGATGTTGGGCCCCCATTTATGTTGTCCACGCTCCAGAGGCCTGGGCGTGGGGGGGGGGGGGGGTGTTGAGTTGTCCCACATCGATGGAAGTTGAGGTCCTTGGTCTCCTTATATGGCTTGGGCAATCCTCACCTCACAAGCTAGCTTTTGAGGTTGAGTTAGGCTCAATGTCCATTCTTATTGCAACTTGTGCTATCTAAATAATTTGGCGTTCCAAATTTTCATGTGATGTAATCAAAAGTCATCTCTATCAATCAAATTGGAAAAGTTAAAAGGAAGGCAAGTTCTACAAAAATTGCTTCTCTATCCCATTGTATGAAAGATTATCTCGAAACTATATATCACTATATATACAGCACGCTATATATTGAAAAAATTACATAAAAATTACATATGTCATGTATTTACAGGTTTAGAGTAAACAAATCTCTCCTTGGTACAGCAATACAACATTCTATTAACTCAAGTTTAATACTAGAAGATTTGTCCTATCATGTCTCAAATGCTAATCACCATAGACCATAGTATTATTAATAAAATATTCTCCGTAATACGTTTTTAGTTAAGGAGCTAGTAAATATTCACATTATTACAAGGTTGTTTAGATCAAACTCCAAAAGACATAGTTGACATAGAGATCATATTTGACGTAATATATGTTAGTTCTATAGAAGGGGAGCTTTTAAGTAACGGTAAAATTGTTTTCATATGACCTATAGATTATGGATTCGAGTCGTAAAATCAGTCACTAATACTTTTCTATGTCATATCTCTCAAAGTGCGATCCTTTTCTTAATACTTTTCTGTATCATATCTCTTAAAGTGCGATCCTTTTCTGAATATTACATAAATGCAAGATACTCAGTACACCGAAATATCTTTTTATATGTTAGTGCTATACTTTATCCAAAACAAAAACACGAAACTTTTGAGAATATAGGATAGTAAGATTCCTTGAAATTAGCAGACAATAGCTAGTGGGAATTTGAGAATACATTCCCTATTTCCATCTCTCCATTTCAATACTAACCTAGAAAACGAAAAAACACACTTTCTAATCTCTCTGAAGCTAAAAACCAGCTCAGTATTTCCAAAAATAGCGATCACTGCATGCATGCTTGTAATAAATTGGAAATTTCTGGAAACTTCATTTTCTCTGCAATTATCAACGGCTCAGATCAATTAGTACCCCCTGCTTCAATACCAAATCTACGGCTCCTATTATTTATGAATAAAACTAATAATTCGCACTAATTTTCAGTATTCCTTCTTTTTTTTTTTTGGCATTTCAAATTCCTTAAGCTTGGCTATGAAGGACAATAGCCAACTTCTCTTGTTGATGAAATTTGACTTGCTTAGCAATGAACTTTTCTATAGCCTTCTGAAATTCCTCATTACTTAATCCGTCAACTCCATACGCCGTCGACGGCGATACCTCGCCGGAGGTTTCAACTTTCCGGCACTTCTCCGTTTCCGATCTACGGAGCTTCACGCAAATTTCCTCCACGCTTTTCTTATCGAGCTTCTCCGATTGCGTTCTCCTCATCGGACCTTTAGATTCCATTGCCTTAACTTTAACCGTTTCGATTTCTTCGTCGGAACCACGTGAATCCTCATTTTTCACTGAGCTCTCCTCAAATATCATCCGTTTGTCTTCGTAAACAATCTCTAGAGCTTCCTTTTCGGATGAAAAATTAGTCGGATTTTCGAGAAACGAGTCGTAGAGTTCAGTTTCACCGACATTGCGGAATGTGGAAGAGTAGTCGCCGGAAAAGAGGCCGCCGGACTTCAAGAGGAGAGTGAGGACGATAAAGTTGCATAGGATGAAGATGAAGCAAGGACTAAGTATTACACCGACGAGTTGACGGAAATACTCGCCGGAGATTTTCACGGCGAAAGGCAAGCGAGTGGAAATCCATAACAACAGAAGAATCACAAAGCACAACTCAACAATGCGTAAAACTTTCCCCACGCATTTGAGACTGCCGAGTTTTAGAATCGCTGCATTATCCATTTGAGAAGCAATGAAGATTCTAGAAGTACCAGAATTTCAAATGCTAATTTTCTCGAGAAAATTCAAAAGAAAATACGGATAAGAAAATTGAAATGGCGAGAAAATACCAAGCATATCATTCACAATTTGAAAAATTGAAAGAGCAGAGAAAATATAGGGCAAAGGGAGAGAGAGGTGGAATTAATGCAAAAAGCAGAACTATGGCTATGACGCTTTTGGTTTTATTACTGAAAGAGGAGGAAAAGGACTGAGGGTTTTGGATTATTGAAGTAATGGAAGCGTTTCGAAAGAATAGGTTTTGGCGTTTTCTATAGAGTACCAGTCAAATGATGAATAAACAATAGGAGTAGAATTTTGGCCAATTAACGAATTTTTTTTTATTCGATAGAAGGCTGCCCGATGCACGAAGTAATTTATATTCATGTAGGATCCGGGGAAAGAGTTACAACCCAGACACAAATGTCAATGGTTGATTTCAAGGCTTAAACTTGTGACTTATAGACAAAGTAGGATCTAGGATTTTTATAACATGGGTGCACCGTTAAGGAAAGGAGAGAAAAAAATACGTAGTAAATAGTAAGTGAAAATTGATCCTTGCTCCTTTAGGTGAATAACTCAACATTCAACTAAGTGCACCATTAAGTCTCTTTGTAGCATAGGTGTCAGCATATAATATTAGTTTAATTTTAGAAAATATGTACATAAAATATTTAGTTTGGCAAAGAGACTATAAGTTCACGAGCCTCATAAATTAAGCTTAAATCCGCCCCTGCCTATAGAATATATAGAGATAACTTTACCATTGGTCCAAGACACCACTAAATTTTTTTATTTGATATCCAATATTTATTGACCCAATAATTCTATTTTTGACCGAGTAGGCCATCTAAGGAGGTAGAACACTCTCTATTAAAAAAAAATCATTTAAGGCTTAAACCATGAATCTCTAGTTAAGGAGAAAAAAATCAAACTATCATATTATATCTGGTGGTAACAAGTGCTCCATCTGTCCCAATTTATGTGACGCTTTTGATTTTCGAGATTTAAATTTCTTAATTCTGATCGTGCATTTGGACATGAAATCTTTAAATTTTTTGAATAAAATTTGTATTTTTAAAAACTACGTAAAAAGTATTATAAGTTAGAATAATCAATAATTCAAAATATTTAAAAGGCATGTGACAAAATTACAATCAATATATAATTTATTTTTATTCTCGAAATTCGAACATCATCACATAAATTGGGACGGAGAAAATAACAACAATACGAGTAATAAAGTATGTGAAAATGCTACACAAGTAACTATGCTTGAGCTTCCTAACCTAATGTTGAATATTACGAAATTCTTTGTTTACCATTGGGATACGTTAATTGTAGCAAGTAGCAACATGGAATGTTTGTTAAATATCTAATCTTACATTATGGTGTTAAGATTTTTTGGGGTATTGATCTACTCTTGAGGTTTTATAGCCTTTCTCTTATCAAGGAATTGTGGACTAGTGCAGTTCATCTACATAGCATTTCAAACCTTATAGAAGATATAAAGCATCTAAAGCTAAATAGTTTTTGATCAATTATAATAAGGGAAAGAAGGAATCAAATGATATTTTGTACAACAACAATAACAACAGATTCAGAGTAATCCTATAAGTAAAATACAAAAAGAATAATGTGTACGCAGACCTTATCTCTACCATATGAAGATAGAAGGACTATTTTCAATAGATCGTCGGCTCAGAAAAAACATAATCATATATAGTTAGAAAAAAATACAAATGCTATTTTGTCCACTATGAAATATCAATATATAGCGTTGGTATATAGGGACAAAGACACGAGCATTCACTTTGACCTATTTTGTTCGAGAAGCAAGTTAATTAATTATGAGTAGTTTTCTAGGCTACTATATCAAAATCCTTACATACCCTATTCATGTCATCACGAGTAATATAATGTACAGAAAAAAAGACTACTTGAAATTAACGTGCCAAAAAAAACAGGTAACATACAAATTTTCGAGAAGTTAAATAAGCTTATTTTCTTTAATAATATTTATTTTAGATAATCGTGGTATTTAACCAAGCTTTTAGAAAAAAAATAATTTTGGATAATAGCAGAAGTTATTTTTCAGAAGTTAAATAAAAAATAATTTTTATCCTAAAACACTTGTGGAATTTGACTAAGCACAAATAGCTGCTCTAATATTGAAAAAAGTTTTTTTATTGATTAGTAAATACAAACTGTTACTCTTCAAAATGCACATATGATAAAAATCATTTTTCAAACTATAAATTTTAGAAGCTATTCAAACAAGCTACTCCTCGGTCCCAATTTATATAGTGGAGTTCGAATTTTAAGAGTTAAACTTCTTATAAATTTTGACTGTGAATTTGAACATAGAATCTTTAAATTTATTGATATAAAATTCATATATATAAAATTTACGTAAAAAGTATTATAAATTATAATAATTAACAATTTAAAATACCTAAAAAAAATACAAAAAGATTATGATTAAAAAAAATCATTTGACTATTAAAATTCGAATTTCGCCACATAAAAACGAACTAAGGGGATTATAAGAAAGAGGTAAAAAAAAATGGTATGAAACAAAAAACCAATGAAATCAGAAGATAGAAATGCCACTTCCAATATCCATGGGATTTTGTCGGCTTGGGTCTTGTGCGAGCGACACAAGTTTCTAACAGCTCACTTTATTCTTCTACTTATTAGCAAACTGTTAATTTTTCCTTGGAATACAATACTAGTATAAACTTTTTAACTTACGTAACAAAATTAATTAATAAATAATGATGTTATATATTAAATTATACTATCTACACTACACCTCTTAGGGTCAGAGGCGGAGGTCACCGGTTCGACCGAATCCAGTAACTTTGATTCAAATCATGTATTTGTCTTAAAATTTTACTTAATTGTACAAATTATTAATTTAGAACCCAGTAACTAAAAGAATAGGATCCCGAACCCATAAGCTTGAAATTCTGACTTCGTCTCTACTTAGGGTATGACTCTTTCTTCGACCCTGCGTGAATGCGAGATGACTTGTTCTCAATTCACTAGTATTTTATTACCTTAGGAATGATATATGGGATGGAGCAATTAAAAGTTGTCAGCAATGATCTTCGTTCGCCTTCTCCGACTTATTATTCAAATCTTTCTTTTTTCATTTCTTAAAGTCTTTACTGACTTGAGCTACTGAAGAAAGAAAGCAGTGTTTCAGAATTCAGAAGTCTCTGAAGGGTACAATCAACAACGCTTTTAATCAACAGTGACCGTAAAAAGACACGTCTTTTGAGCTTATGTCTGTCAATTGGGCCAAGTCTGACTCATTAAGAGCTCTGACAGACCCGGCCCATTAGGGAGTATAATTATGAAATTTTTACCTCTTATACCAAATGTTGATATCTTATTTATTTTAAATAAACACCCTTTTAAAAAATTATATTCTATAGATACCTTTTGATTTTTATAACCAAATATCTATTTATTGTTACCTCCTACTCTTAAGCCATAAAATACTCTTTGTATTATTTTTCTCTCTCATTCTTTCAGATTTTTCTCCACCCTCTCTCTCTCTCTCTCAACGCCAGTCTTTCTCCATGGTTATCTCCCCACTCTCTCTCCGCCTCTTTCTCCATGTTTGAATGTCTGAAATGGTGAGTTATCTAGGTTGGTGAGCATCCGTACAAGGAGATTGTATTGGTGGTGATCTATATCCCAAGCACTTGGGTATAAACTAGTGTGGATCTATGGTATGTTCAATTCTTAGAATTTTTGAAGGATCTGAGACCCCACCTTGATTTCCAATTTGAATGTCAGTTCCAGGTTTGGAACTGTCCATAGGACTGATTCAGTTATCACTACTGTCGGTCCCCGTGACTATGTATTCATTTAATTTATGCGAAGAGACCACGCACATGGGTACACGTACAAAAAGCCATGCAAAAGTCATGAAAGAAGGGTTTTGATTCGCGTATCGGCGGTCTTATCGGCGGCTGCTTCTACTCAGGAAGTGACCTCGGCTCCGGCACCATCGCCGGACCAAGGCGGCGCGTTTTCACTACTGGCTTCCGGTGAACGGCGAATTCGCCGGAAATTAGGGTTTGTTCTTGAACAAAGACGACAGAGTTTGGGGCTGAGCAACTTGATTTTCTATTAATATATTTCAATGTATTTTCATGTATTTCATTGTATTCATTGTCTTTATTTATTTATTTATTTATTGTAATTCAATGTATCTCGTTGTATTCCATGTATTTCATTGTATTCACTGTCTTTTTTTTCATTGTATTTCAATGTATCCCGCTGTATTCTATGTATTTCATTGTATTCACTATCTCGCTATATGCCATGAATGTATTCATATGTTTTTTGATTAATATAATTTATGTATTCCGATGTATTATATAATTTTTCTGAAGATTGCTATGGTTTGGGGTATTTTTCGGTTGAGAATCTTTTTATAACTGAAAATACAAAATTTGTGTGTTATAATTAAGTTTGTTGAGTTATATTAGGAGTCTATTATGTTAATTGATTCACTTTCCGTTTTAAAAATAGTGTAATCCCCTATTTCACGTCGTGAATACAGTCGAATATAGTTGAATACAATAATTTGTCCAGCTGTAATCCCATGTTTCACTCCATGAATACAGTCGAATACACTCGAATACAACAACTGATTAACTGGACTTCCCTGATCACGCCTATTTTTGCTATTGTATTCATGAATACAATAGCTTAAATACATCAAATACATCTTATAACCACACAAAAGGTATCTATAATCCGTAATATAGCAAATGGTATCTATAGATGTCTAATTACTACTAAAAGATAGTGCATTGTGAAAATTTCTCTATAATTATTTTATTTTCAATAGTTAGCTGCTTGGTAATTTTGTCCATTTTCCTTAGTTGATATTTAGTACAAATTTTCACCTATTGTTAGAGGACATGATTCCTTGTGACCAC